CGGGCAGACTGGCGGTGGACAGTAAGGACTCTACACCTTCCTGTTTAGTGCTCAGAAGCTCTAAATACGTCCTCACAGATTCAGTGAGCCAGAATGAGTATAAAGATAGAGATAAAGTTGGGGACAAAAGAGAAACGAGACGTGTGTGTGTGTGTGTGTGTGTGTGTATACGGAAAAAAATTAATGGGTTCACTTTCTGCAGGATGGGAGGGGGGCGATGCCCATATCTCCATAAAGTGTCCTTTGTTTGGCTGTGAAGTAAGGAGGGAGAATACTTCATGGCTGGGCTTTAGCAGCCGGTCCAAGATTGATTCTTGTATTTACTGGAGGAAAAGGGAGCGTTCATGAGGAGCATGTAGAGTGTATCCTCAGCCTCTTCCTCCGCCGCCTCTCTCTAACTCTCTCCTGCTATGAGAAATGAGCCACAGCTCAGTGTTGCAAGAGAGGAACACTTTCATGGGCCCTACAGCTCATTCAGTCCAGTTTCTGCTAAGCTGTTTGCCTTTGTGGGCTGTATTTACCAGCCATTCTTACATCTAAGCCCTGCTGCTAGATTTACAACGAGGCCGGGGCGCGTTCGAGCAGGAAATTTGTGGCGGCTTAGATGTTTACCCGTGGTGAGCGGGAGAGAGCATGTGGAGCATCAGAAGAGGTTCACGAAGAGACTGAAAATTGTTCTTTTCATCTCCAGAGAGATAAAGACGGGGAGAGAGAGAGAGAGAAGGGTTAGAATGCGTAATCGTTTAATTTGACAAATTAAACGTGCCGCTGGGAAGGACACACGTTTTCCCACACTCTCTCTGGAGGTGTTTGGATTAAAAGAGGTCATGGTGGATATCCTCATGGATGCTTATTGTTCAAACAGGACCTCAGTCCGTTTTTTTTTTTTTGTTGTTGTTTTTTTTACTGTAACTTTTAAATCAAGATTTTAGGGTTAAGGATGTTCAGGATGTTCAGTCAGAAAGAATGTCTTTGTGCTTTTTTCTTTATGAGCGAGTGAGTAAATCACAGCCCCATGCTGTTAAAGTGAACTAAGCTTCTGTGGCGCTGGAATAAGAAGTTCTCCCCATCAATGCACTTCCTCCTCCCAGAAGTGTAAAAGGAGCAGCCATTCATGGAAATGCTGCAAGCAGACCGTATGTGACCACCGTGTTACGTCACTGCTGCATGCGTTTGTAGTATGTTCGCTCTTATTTCTGCGTTTTGAATGAACCTGTGTGTGTCCGTTTATGTGTGTGCGTGCACCCAGGCACTTCTGTCCGAGCTTCAAAGAGCAGCACATTTTCCCACACTGCCAGGATCACTCCTCTGGGCTTCTCCTGGTAAAGAAACGGGGGCCAGAGGAGCCCTCTTTTCTTTTCAGGCTCCTGGCCCGGCTCTGCTCTGTCCTGTTCTGTCCTCAATTGGACTTTGACTGAGTGCCAGAAAGCCAGGGGATGTATGTTGCTCCGCCTTCCAAGAGGCCATAGCCTTTGTTCAGGAAGACTTGAGATTTTGAGCACAATTCTGTAAACCTGAACGGTTCAAGTAAAAAGAACTGATTTGATGGTCAGAGATGACTTGATACTATATGTATAACTGAACTTTAGATGTGCTCATACCATACATGTACAACAAAACCAATTCTGGGAAAGTCTCTGAACTGATTAGCTGCACCAAAAGTTACAGTTTTCAGGAGTCAACATTAGCTCTGATCACATCATTAAACTTAGAGTCATCAAATCTAATTAGAACATATACAGCATATTAACCAATGTATTTACTGGAAAACTGAAATGTATCTTGTATTGCACAAAATAGACCTAATGGTAGTAATAATCTTAACTTTGCCCTTCAGTGTGGATCAATAAATGGGACAAATCTGATCAAACCAATGAGTAAAAGATAAAAAAGGACTCCCAATCACATTATTTTTGACCAAAAAAGCACAAACTTTGAATGATTAGGCTTCTAGTTGCGGCTGGTGAGTTTTTGATAAATTAACCGTCAATAACTATGATCCCTAATCACTGACTCACTTCTGTTGTAGTTTTGCTTTGACGTGATTGGCTCAGGTTTGTTTCCTTTTACAGTGACCTGTTGATAATTAAATTAATCCTCTTCTCAGTATTTCTGGAACAATCTTCTCATTTTCAAATAGTTTCTTTTGTGGATACATTTGAAAACAAATCATTTCATCAGGTATGATGAGATACTCAGGGGAAAAAAAGAAGAAAATAAGTCAGCAAAAGCCTTCAAAATGATCATTTCTGTTGTGTACTTTTTAGTACTTTTAAGGTTTATTCCTCATTAGGGAGTTTTTCCTTCCCACTGTCGCCTTCATGCTTGCTCAAGATGAGAATTCTGTGATGGAGTTAAACTCAAAGCAGTCTGCTCCTCAGATAAATAATGTTAAATTATTATTTTTATATATGAATAATTCTGTTCAGTGCCATGAGATGACTTCTGTTGTGACTTGGCGCTATATAAATAAACTGAATTTAACTGAATTAGTGCATTGCGCCTCTAATTTGGGACAATAGAACTAATAATAAGGCAACAGTTAAAACTTTATTAAACACTGCTCAATCCCAAATTTATTTGCATATATTTCAGTTCTATCTATTTGATGTATTTATTTATTTATTTTAATAGTTTTAGATTAAAATGTTCTTTTTACCGCATGTTTGGCAGAGCGAAGACAGACAGTGATTCAGTGTTTGCTGTATATTCTGCATTCTGGTCAACAGAGGTGTATTTATTCCTGCAGGTCGTGTATGTGACGGCCACCTTTCCATACTTCATGCTGATGATCCTGTTGATCAGAGGAGTCACGCTGCCCGGAGCCTTCGATGGCATCAAGTTCTACCTCTACCCAGACATTTCACGTCTCTCTGACCCCCAGGTAGGCTTTGGCCTTCTGTGTTAACTTTCTGCTGGTTACTCAGTGGAAAACTTTACTATGTGAAGAACCTGTTAACCAGGAAAATGAGAGTGGCAAAGTTGGTGTTTTACATTATTTTGACTGGTATGGATGTTGCAGCTTTGATTCAGTCATGGTGCTGCTGTTTCTTGTAGTTTTAGATTTAACTTTCCTGCTGGGTCAAAATAAACCACAAGGCCTCAGTTTTAGCCTTCTGAGTCATTTTGACCCAAGGGCAGCAGGAAGGTTAAGCTCAAGTTATCAGAAAAACACACTAACACCGAGTCAAATGGGAAAGATTCTCAATTTTAGAGCATCATGTAGTAAATATCTAGTTTGTCAAGATCTTACAAGTTGTTGTTGAACTTTAACAAAAAATCTAATGATGAAAAATATGTTGATTTTATTTTTTGTGTAAATCAAGCATCATGTCTATAAACAAAAAGTGCTCCACAGGTTAGTTTGCTGAGGGCCGCTCTAATGATACTCCCCGAGATTTATATAAAACTCTCATGCTCCTTGATGTAATGTGTTATCAGACTTGTTAAATAGTTCACATTCTGCATACTTATTTAAATCCCGCATTTAAAAAAAGTGAACATACTGAGATTATTTTATTAGTCTCGTGTCAACTTTAAGACTATTTGGTGAATTGGACTGAGGCGACTGTTTTTGTTGGCTGTTTTTATGACTGGCAGATAGTAAAGCAGGGGGACTGAAAAGCTGTAAGCTCACCTGTTTGTGGCTGTGAAGCTGCCAAAAAGACAGGTGGTGGTTTTGTTGCTAGCCATTTTTGATCTGCACTTGAACCTGCTCACGGTTGGGGGAGCTGGTTCATTTCTCCAGTGGTCACCAGACCAGAGACGGGGTACACCCTGGGCAGGTCACCAGTCCATCACAGGGACACAGAGACAACTATTCATGCTCACACCAATAGCTAGGAACAAGTTAGAGTTTTCAGTTAATCAATGCAGGTTTTCTGACTGTGGGAGGAAGGTGGAGCACCCAGCACTAACCCATCTGGAGAACATGCAAACCCCATGAAAACAGGCCATGATCAAGAGTCCAACCAGGACCAACTGGCTGCAAATCAACAGTTTTATCATTGTTTAGCTTGTTCTGCTACAACAAATGTAAAATAAGTCATTTAAAAAAAATGTATTTACAACTTTCATCACTCCTGCACGGTGAAGTACCACAAATAACACTGGCACAACTAAACTATACGACTAAAGCTAAAAACGTTTGGCTTTATTTCTGCTTCTCACTGTCATTGGAGCGATGCTGTCATGGTTTCTTTTGACCTGATGCTTCTGCTGCTGAAGGGCTGCCAGATAAAAACGAGACTTTAGCCAACTTGCATGGCGGACAGAGGTGAGACAATGAACATTTATTTCAAAGAGACACATACTGACGTAAATCGAGACTTCTCAACCTTGTCTGATGGGTTGCTAGGCAACGAAGCATGAGGAGATGTCAGTGGACCAGATGTCTAGACAGCATGAACAGAGAACAAGAGTTTGAGTAATTAAATTATGGTTATTGCGATTGTTATTATGTGAATATACTTTTAATGATCATGTACATTTATTGTTGCTGTTTGGACAAGATTTTGATAAATTGCAGATGGAATGAAACTTGGCAGGTGTCATTGAAATAAACAGTGAATCTAAGGTTAAACGAGTTGGAAGAAACTTGTGGTGCTCATTTTAAGGTCTAATGACGTTCGACTGAACTGATTTTTCATCCATTATCTTTTACCCGCTTTTTCCTTTTTGGGTCACAGGGATCACTGGTGCCCACGTCCAGCAGTCACTGTGCGAGAGGCGGGGGACACCTGGGCAGGTCTCCAGTCCATCACAGGGACACAAACGAGACAAACAACCATTCACTCTCTCACTCACACCTAGAGACAATTTAGAGTTACCAATCAGTCTAACATGCATGTTTTTGGTCCGTGGGAGGAAATAGGAGTATCCAGAGAAAACCCACGCACAGAGAGAACATGCAAACTCCACTCAGAAAGGCCCCCTGGCCAGGATTTGAACTGGCGACCTTGTCGCTGAGAGGCAACAGCTCTATCCTGATACACCGTTCCACCGCAAATTTTTCATGCTTACAGAAATTTATTTCCCCTTAAATTTTGTATAAAATTCTTTTTCTTACATTTTGAATCAGTTCATTGTAATTTTTTAACACAGTATCGGTTTATATAGATTTTTCTGAACAAAGCTTCTGAAGAGATGATGAAGAAATATGTTCCAGTAGCTAAATAACAAAATGCTACATTCTTTTGATTAAGTTTGAAATGTCAGCGATCTATTTATGTTCATCTCTTGTATACTTTAGTCCAGAAAATATTAAGTTCAACGTTGCAGTATCGCCATCCTTTAGCTACATTCTTCTGGGATTTCTGTCAAATATTAGTGGATGTTTATTGAAGTGTACATAATTTCATTTGGTGTTTTTAAACTGCTACTTGTGCACTAAAAACTATCATCTAGAAATCTGGACCAAGCTTCAGGATGTGCAGAGTTGGGAATGAAAACAGGCTGACCTAAACTTCTATTTAACAATTTCTTCTTTTCAGACTTCAGGTTTTCATGTAAACACGTGCTTTTCACACGTCAGCTGCAACAGCCAGTTCAGGTGATTAAATGCTACAAATGTGATAACAAGGAGAGTTTGGGAACTTTTAATTAACTAAAATAAAATCAGTTTGGATGTGCACTCCTGTCAATTTCAATAACGTGTTGCCAAAACCTTTTTTGTTCAAACTAGATAGCTATATCTTTTTTTTTTTTTTAGAGAAAACATCATAAGTGAGGCAAACATCTGTGTTCAGAAAAAATAAAAACTGAGCAAATCACAGAAGAAAGTGGGAAAAATGTGACTTGCCAGATGTTGTACACACTTCAGGTGGTAAAATATGTCATAACAAAATGTGAAAAATACTAAGAACACAACGTTTTTTATATTTTTACACAAAAAGAGAACACACTTGTAGTGGGCAAAGATAATAAATTAGGAGTGTTTTAAGTATTTTAAAGTACATCTAATGGTATTTGATTTAAGTATCTTTATAATAATACTACTACTAATAATATAATTATAATATAATAGTTATTTTTAGGCTGCACAGTGACTCAGTTGGTAGAGCTGCTGCCTCTCAGTGAGAAGGTCGCTGGATCAAATCCCGGCCGGGGGCCTTTCTGGGTGGAGTTTGCATGTTCTCTTTGTGCATGCGTGGGTTTTCTCCGGGTACTCCGGTTTCCTCCCACAGACCAAAAACATGCATGTTAGGCTGATTGGTAACTCTAAATTGTCCCTAGGTGGGAGTGAGAGAGTGAATGGTTGTTTGTCTCGTTTGTCTCTATGTGTCCCTGTGATGGACTGGAGACCTGTCCAGGGTGTCCCCTGCCTCTCGCACAGTGACTGCTGGACATGGTCCAGTGACTCCTGCAACACAAAAAGGAGAAAGTGGGTAAAAGATAACGAATGGCTATTTTTATAGTGTATTTTTAAAAGCTTTTTTAATTTTTTTTTTAATAAAGTATAAGTTACAGGAAAGAGCTCAGTGAAGCAGAACGAGGGTTACAGAGAAAAAAAAAACCAGACTATTGAAAAATCAAACGGCAGCACCGTGAGAGGGGAAGACGAGCAATAAAAACAGGCTGCTGCTTCATTACTTTTGACTCCAGCATTAAATGACCTTCCTTAAAGATGACCGGGGCTCTGTTCTGTTTACAAAGCTGTGTTGGTGTTGTCTCTTTTATACTCTCCTGAGTTGCATAATGCCTTCTCCATTCCATTTTTCCTACCCCCCCCCCCCATCCCCCTCTTTTTGGCTGCGTCTGCCTTTATTCCACTTCTCCCTCTTGTTTTCCTTACAGCTACAGGTGTGCATGCTTATTTAAAACCGAACATCTGTTCCACATGTCACACTCCAGCTTTATTCTTTAGTTCACAAGCTAATATGTCACACACAATTTAGTTGGGTAACTGTTGGTAAAAATAGTTGTTGTAGGTTATGTTGACATCAGTAAACTGACTGAAATTTCACAAACAATTATGAGTGCTGTACTTGAAGCTTGACTTCCTTTCTTAATCCGGTTGCCTTCTTATCAAACATTTACTAAATATGGCTGCAAATTGTCACAAACGTATGATTCAAGTGTATCCCCATTTTACATGACGTATCCCTTGCATTGATCACTTTGATTCTTTCTTTTCACTGCCCTATAAATGTCTCGTTGGGTTTTTGCACTGCAGCCACAACCAACATTGTTTGCCTTGCTTTTTAGTAACAGTAAGTTTCAACAATTGTGATTTTAGGAAAACAGAGTGAGAAATAAGCTGACTGGTTTTGTATTTTGTGAACAGTTCCATTCATGCGTAGGCATTTTGTTTAATCAGAATCTGAATAAACTTTATTGGAATTGCACCGCGGTACAACGCAAATATGCACGTACAGTCGTCCGAAAGATGGGCGGAGCGCACGAAGCTGCAACTGTAGAAAGCGCGGCCATTTTATCCTTATCAGATAATAATCTTAGATAGGAAAAGGGGGAGAAACATGAGGGTAGATAGTGGTATTACAAAAAAAGATCTTTCACATCTTGTCTATCAGGACACGATTTGAGACATCAAAAAACTCTACCAGCAAGCACAATTAAAACATGATTACATTTGCATTTGACATCAAGGTGTTGAGATTTGTCCATGAGCGTTTTTCAGATCAGCCACAGTTTCTGAAGATGTTGTTTCAGCAGACAGTTCTGATAAGCTTGCACAGAAAGTTCTCGGGGGGGGTGGGGGTGTGGTGTGCGATAGATGAAACATTTGTCCTTGGGTACTCATGTCATGTACTGATGTACGTACTACGACTAGTGTTACATCATTGTGGCAATATCCTTGTTTGTCGCTCTGCAGCCGAGATCACTGACTAACGTCAAAATCGTGGGCGTAAAGGAGCACTGTGAGTGGTGCATTTACATTACAAGAACACTATCTTACAGCCAATGTCATCCAGCTTTCACACAGTAGAAAGGTTTCCTGGAGCCACAGTCTCAACATAACCAAACAGAAGACAGCCAAATTAGGCACAACATCAACAAGTGGTTTTCTCTGAGCCTGGGCCTTTAAGGTTCCCCTGCGCTGCGCGGACATCAGCCGAGGGTGAACTAAAGGGAACATTAATGAACATTAGGAGAGAAAAGCCTGTTCTTCCACAGGAACAGTCCTGTGTTTGTGAGGTCACAGAAGTTACCGTGGTTACTCCCAGGAGGGAGCGAAGACCTTGCGTTTGTCAGTTGTTTTTCTGTGGGGAAATAAGATTAGTTGCTGAATGGTGATGTGAGAGAGTTTTTAAAGAGCCATGCTGCATTAGATTTGAATTTGCTCGCACCCCATGTGATCCTGTGGGTCCTGGTGGCCTGCGATGCTCTGCGGACTCGTTTCATGAAGGTGATTTTTAAACTCAGGGAGGAAACTTTTATGTAAATATTCTTTCGTAGTGAATGACAAAATCGGATACCTATAAAAACACCATTACCTGAATATGAATTGATATAGAAAAAAAGTTAAAGCATTATATAAAACAGCTTAACAGATACAAAGTAATTGATGTACTATTTTTTAACATTAATATTGTGTATGGATTGTATTTAGGCTTTCGCTCTGTGCAACTCAGTGTACAATGGAGATATAAGATCCCTAATTATTAAAATGAAACATAAAAGAAGACTGCAGTCTATTTCAGATCTTAACGGATAAGTTCATAAATCTAAAATTATTGGAGTCAGCCAAAGATTTCTTGTGTATAAAGTACGTCATAGATAAAAACATTTTACGCTGTGAGATAAAGTTTTATCTCCAGTGATGAAGGGCTTCTGTGAAGCACAAATACTACAAGTCCCTGCTTTGAAATTAAATAGACAAAACCACCATACAAACCAACTCAAATGACCTGATGCATGCTCAATAATCCAGATAGAAAACTCTAACGAGGTTGAATCAGGTCATCTGGACGGATTCTTGTTTGTTGAAATGTTTCGTCTTTTGTCCAAAAGACTTCTTCAGTCTGAGATCTTGTAACAAGCTCATTAGTTTAAACTCAAATTTATTTTGTATTTCTTTTCTTGTAACAGGACCTTTGAAGCAAATTCACTGGATCTTTGTCTGACTGAAGAAGTTATTCATCCATCCTTGGTTAATCTTCCACCATCTATCTGAGACAAGATCTCAGAGCATTAGCCCAGCAAGAGATCTCTAGACCTTTCTTATACTTCTTCTAGCTTCTCCCAGGGAATTCTGAGTTTTTTCCCAAGTTGGCCATGAGATATAATTTCTCTATTATTGGTTCTTGGTTCACCACAAAGTTTCATCCCAGTGGGACATGTCCAAAGCACCGTCCTAAAAAAGATCCCCAAAAGCCATTTTTACAAGATGTCCACCTCACCTGGCTTCTCTATTTGAGGATGCTCTTGCTGAGCTCTTTTGAAAACCTGAGTTCCTAAGCTTGTCCTTAAATGTACCAGCCCATCTGAAAAATGTCTGGAGGTGAGAGTCCAGATGATAGTTGAACTTCATGTTTGATGGCACCAACATGGTTTTAATTCATGCTGTGAAACACTGAACCGACGCTCCAACTTTGCAAGGACTTCTGAAGACGTATGTGAGTTTGCCTTAACAGTGTTTGCATGCTTGGTTGACTTGGAGAAGGCTTACACTCATGAGGAGGTTTTTGAATTCCAGCAATTTGGGATTTTATTGTTGCTTTTTGGAGATGATGTGGTTTTGTTGGACTCATCAAACTGGGAACTCCAGCAAGTACTAAAGCAGTTTGTTACCAAGTGTGGAACAACCAGGATGAAAATTAAAGCAAAAAGGGCAAAGCTCTTGATTTAGATGTTGATCCACTTTCCAACCACCATATATGTAATACAAAAATAGTGGTTGCAAGTGCAAACAGCTAAAATAAGTTTTTTCTGCTTGGTGGCAGAAAAATATTAATCCTTTGAACACTCTTCTTACTGTGTTCTGTAGACTATTAAGAGTAGCATTATCTGACAAAACATTTGAAATGATCTATCAAGTCTACACATTTTTCAACTCAGCATTTTGTTTTACAACAATAACGATTTAGGAAAGAAGATAGATTAAACACAATGTAGGGAAAAGTAAAGCAAAGCATACTTTTTAGTCTGAAGAAACTGCATATTCATTTAGGGTTTTAAATGTTTAAAGTATATAAAAATAATTTGGAAGAATTTTGACCCCATCTAAACAAATAAGATATATAAAGTGTCGGCCTCCTTTCATTGTTCAATATGGAATTTTTTTTTTTTTTTATGAACAATGCCATGTGTATTTTAGGAGACAGAGTTTGTTTACTTGAGATGTACCTACGTCCCTGTTTGCAAACATGATGTGCTTTTAGTTAGTTAGTCTTCGTCGTCCCTTTTGAGACATAAGGCCGCTATCAGATGCCTCCACTTGATTCTGTCACGGGTCACATGCTGAGCATCACCCCAGGGCAGACTCATCTTCTGCAGCTCTGATGTCATTGTCCTTTGCCATGTTGTTTTTGGCGTTCCCTGTCTCCTTTTACCAGGTGTGTTCCAATACAATGCTACTTTAGGTATACGCTGACTGCCCATCCTCAGTATGTGACCCAGCCATTTAATACTACAGTGTTTTATCTCCATCCTCAAACTGTCACACATAGTCTTCTGGTTTAGATCAGTGGCGTAGTCTTCACGATACGCGGGCATACAGAGTATACCCACTAGAAAAGTTTAAGAATTTCAGTATACCCACTTAAAAGTGCTCAGTGATATGAAACATATCACTGGGCATGTGTCACTGATACATTAATCGGCAGTTAAATGCTTTTGTAACAACCTATTTGTATGCAGCGCTTGTTTATCACATTTGCTTAGCCAGCGAATTAATGTATAATTCTGTATACTTACTACTTAATACTTGAACATGTTTTGCTTTGATACTGTTTTATAAATTATATAACATGTTTTTAATACAAAGCCAACTGTTGTACAAAGTTTGTTGTGCATTTATTCACATATAAGCATCAAATAAATTTGGAAATGTTCAATATGCTTAAAAATCAAAATAAACTGACAATTACACTGTACTAACCAGTGTACTTTGGTTTCTAGGCACAGTATACCCACTAAAAAAATGTAGACTACACCACTAGATCATCATTAGTCATTCTCATGAGCCAGAATATGCCACATAAAATTCTCTTCAGACAGCAGTTGTGAAAGCCATCCAGTTTTCTCATATTGATCTGTGTTGCACTCCAACACTCAGAACCATAAAGCAAAGCATAGTTAACATTGCCGTTGTACAGCCTCAGCTTGGTTTGGAGATAATAATGCTTTGAACACAAGCTTTTCCCAACCATGCTGAAATGTCTGGTAATTGCATTCAGCATTCATAAGACTTCCAATGTAAAAAAAAATCCTGAAATATCTCAAGTGGTTTGTCATTCACAGTGATTGGTGCATCTGATGTTGGAGTGATACACATGACATGGGTTTTGGTGGTACTGATGTTCAGGCTAATCTGTTGAGCAAAGCAATGTAGCCTGTTCGTCTTTTCCTGTAGATGACTCGTTTTTGTGGACAAGACAGCAAGATAGTCAGCGAAATCGAGATCTTCAAGGTGGGGAAAAAGCAGTCCACTGGATGCCTCTTGGTTTGTCTGCTGTGGTCTTTCACATGATCCAGTCGATGGCAACTAGGAATAAGATGGGAGAGATGGCACAGCCTTGTCTAACACCAGGCTCTACCAGAAACAAGTTTTCTACTCAATATGACGCTGCTCTCAAAATGATGGTTAAACAACCCCATCAAAGTTATTATCTTAGAAGGTAGTCCATAGGATCTGAAAATCTTCTATAAGGTTTCACTGTGCAGGCTGTCAAAGGCTTTCTGGAAGTTGATGAACTTGATGTAGAGTGGAATTTTCCATTTCAGGCATTGATGATTCTGAGAGCAAATATCTGGTCTACACATCCTCTTCCTTTTCTGAATCCAGCTTGTTCTTGTCATCTTGCTGTCAATAGCTGAGCTTGTTCTATCTATGAGGATTTGGCAAAATACTTTTGATGGTAATGACAGGAGAGTGATACCATGCCAGTTGTCACAGACCTGTAGATTGCCTTGTTTTGGAAGTATCACAATTAGTACTTTGGACCAGTCCTTAGGTGTGGTAACTTTGGCCTATAATAATTGAAAACGATAAGGATCTTTGTTGAGGTGTCTAGGTCCGCCTTTAGCATCTTTGCATGGATGGTATCGATGCTGCATGCTTGTCCATTCTTTAAGGCTTTAATGGCATGCTGTACATCTTCTTTTTTGGGCTGACTTATGTCAATGTCAAGGATTTCCTCTGTTGGTAGATCTGCATGGTCAGTTTGAGTACTGATTAATTAATCAGTAATTACTCAGTTGAGTCCTCGTCTCTCTGTAGTCGCCAAAGGTGCCACTCATGAATCAATCTGTACTCCTGTTGAAACAATTTACGCTGTGTTAAATGTCAATGCATACATGTTGGATGTTTACTTTTGGTTTGTTTCCAGGTATGGGTGGATGCAGGGACCCAAATCTTCTTTTCCTACGCCATCTGCTTGGGCTGTCTTACTGCTCTTGGAAGTTACAATTCCTACAACAACAACTGCTACAGGTAACAATGCAAGTAGAGGGAGTATTAAAGTAAATATAAGTAATCAGCAAAATCAAACTGTAATTTTCTTTCAGTTATCTTCAATATAAAGGCTACAGGAATATGATTAATGGTCAAAGTGTATTATACAGATTGTCAGGTTGATTTCAGGATTTTTGAGATTGAATGTGTCAGAATGTCTGTTTGCGTTTCGTATTTTTTCAAGTCCACTGTAAGTGTTAACTCGTTTTCTTCCTCCTCAGAGACTGCATCATGTTGTGTTGTTTGAACAGCGGGACCAGCTTTGTGGCAGGTTTTGCCATCTTCTCAGTGCTTGGCTTCATGGCCTACGAACAAAATGTTCCCATTGAAGCTGTGGCTGAATCTGGTGAGAGAAGTGCTGCAAACATCAGTTTTTAGAACTCTGTTGCTTCTGTGCAGATGCTACAGGAAAACAAGGGAAATAAATACCTTGCTTTTACACAGCTTATTGTGCTCAAATAGATAAATTTCCCCAGTTATATAACTCCACACTCTTCACCTAGGCTTTTAGGCAGCTGCATTCTGGATTATTTAAGTCAGCATGAATGATTTAGTGAATGTGACAGAGCAGAAGAATTTAGATGTTTGTCTCAGGCTACAGCAGGAAGTTTCTACAAGACTGTCTCATAATGTGAGTCCTAAATAACGCAATAATATTGCACTTCTTCTTTGAGCCAGTTAACCATAAAGGGGGATCAGAAAATTCTTAATTGTTTTTTTTTTTTTACACATTTCAGAATTTTTGTTTAAATTCAATTTTCAGTCTGTTTACAAATACACAATTTTCCAAGGTAAAAAAAATAAAATATCAGTGGCATGCCTTGATAGAAATCCAAAAGGTTAAAATTACCGCAGCCTGCATCTTGTAACAATCTGCAACTTTTATTTTGAAACAATGAAGTTCAAGTTCAAGTAGGTTTATTATCATTTCACCAAATGTGGTACATGAAGTGGAACAGAATTGTGTACACAGGGTCCCAGTTACATCCAACAATAGTAAAAATATAAAGTGTCAAAAGAAACAGTAAATTAGGATCTAAGATATAAACTAAGATATACACTAAACACTAATGATGCAAAACAACAAATGCAACAAATGAAGTATCAGACAATTAGGTAAAGAATGTTAACACTATCATATATTAAAAACACCCTAAAATACTGACTTTAGTTATGTTCTGCTGTATATGCATTGTTTTTAAACACTTTTTTGTGAGAACAGCTTCTAGTAATGTGCTTGTGTTGCATTGTCAAACAATTAGAACAATCAAGTTTCAGCTGAGTCAAAAGAAAGCCCAAAATAATAAAAAAAAAAATAACAATTAGGATTTAAAACATGTAACAATAAATAAATAAATAAATAAATAAACATGCTTATAAGAGAAGAAAAAACATTTTTTATCAAATACACTTTTTTATATACTTCTATATACCTTTTTTTTTTTTCAAATACACACTAACTTATTCAGTCTTGTTTTCTAGAGCTGATGTCAAAGTGAGTTTAATATTCTCCTTTAATTTATGTTTCGGTCCAAAATTGTTGGTTCACAAAAACTGAACATGTTCAAATTGTGCTGCAAACCTAATAGTGGTACAAAACTCAGCTAACAGAAGAGAAGCATAAGTCTAAAACTTGTGTAGTATAATTTAGTTTTATTTTTGCCACTTTGTTTTGTCACATCCCTGTGGATAGTGAATGATGTTTGTACTTTCTTTGTCATGCAGGTCCGGGTCTGGCCTTTATTGCATACCCCAAAGCTGTAACTATGATGCCTCTGTCCCCACTCTGGGCTTGTCTCTTCTTCATGATGCTGATTTTCCTCGGCCTCGACAGCCAGGTGAGCACTTCATGAGTAAACATTTATCCTCCCATTGGACGATGATGGTATTAAAAAAAACTGTGACTAAAAATTTAAGTAACAGCCTAACAAACACTGAACACTGGAGGTTGTTTTATTTTACATCCAGGGCAGTTTGCACTGAAATCAGAAGCACTAAATTATGAAAGAGTTGCGAAGTATGGGTGTGACTTTAAAACAAAAAGAGAAAACTGTGCACAACAATCTGGCAGTGAATGAGTTAATTAATGGACGAGTAATAAACTTGTCTTGTGTGTCTAACTTTGGCAGCAAGTACAATACAAATCAAGTTTTACGACAAAGACGTGCTGAAACTGGAAGGATTAATAAAACATTTACATTTCACATATTGTATCACTACATTTAATAACTTATCTTTTTATCATTTTAATGCTTACACATGGAATTTGTTTGTATAATTATTATTCTGTAATCTGTGTCAGAACAAGCAGTATAAGTTACACATTAATGAAAAAAAAAACCTGTGCATTTTAGTTTATGAAAATGTCTGGTTTGTGTTGTAGTTTGTGTGTGTGGAGAGTTTGGTGACAGCTGTGGTGGACATGTACCCGGAGACCTTCAGAAGAGGCTACCGCAGAGAGCTGCTGATTCTTGGCATGTCTATAGTCTCCTTCCTCATTGGACTCATCATGTGTACCGAGGTGAGACTCAGTCACGTCACTTACAGGAACCATTCAGACAGTTTTTACATCTGTGTGGATTCCTACACATGCAGTCTGCTTCCTCTGGGTCATTCATGAAATATAATTTACTGTTGGGTAAATGATCTGTATTTTAGCTGTAAATTATTACAGTAACATCTGTAACGTATGGAGTTTCTAAGAGGACGCTGGTGACGAAATGTATTTTAAATAGGTTTAAATGTGCACGGGGAACTATCTGCTGCAAATGACAAAAATATTCTGTGCACTAGGGAAAAAATCACAAGTGTCTGTTACATACAACACAAAATCTATCGCTTATTAGTTTCTTCCACTCATAATTGTTATAAACACATCCAGTACAATTCAGCTTCTAAGGTTTTTGATATGATAATTATGAGATTCAGCTGAGCTATATGTTGCTTTTGGAAATTGTAGTTGTTCTGGCCAGGCATCAGTGTTAATCGGTTAGCCTCTATAACTTATCTTCACTGAGTGTTTGGATAACATGATCATATTTATTTGGTGTTTTCAGGAAGGTGGGCATAAATTCATCTGAAGACATTTACTTGTTTGTGTTTGAGGACATTTAGCTGCTGAGAACAAAATCTGCACATTAATGCACACAAGAAAACTATCTGTTGTGCACCAGATGAAATTGCATGGCCACAAGAATGTTTCCTGTTCTCACCTGATAAAATCACATACTCGTGAGAAAGCTGTTTAAAAATACAGTGCCTTGCAAAAGTATTTGGCCCCCTTGAACTTTTCAACCTTTTGCCACATTTCAGGCTTCAAACATAAAGATATAAAATTTAAATTTTTTGTGAAGAATCAACAACAAGTGGGACACAATCGTGAAGTGGAATGAAGTTTATTGGATGTGTCAAACTTTTTTAACAAATAAAAAACTGAAAAGTGGGGCGTGCAATATTATTCGGCCCCCTTGTGTTAATACTTTGCAGCGCCGCCTTTTGCTGCAGTTCCAGCTGCAAGTCTCTTGGGGTATGTCTCTATCAGGTTTGCACATGGAGACACTGAAATTCTTGCCCATTCTTTCTTGCAAAACAGCTCGAGCTCAGTGAGGTTGGATGGAGAGCGTTTGTGAACAGCAGTCTTCAGCTCTTTCCACAGATTCTCGATTGGATTCAGGTCTGGACTTTGACTTGGCCATTCCAACACCTGGATATGTTTATTTGTGAACCATTCCATTGTAGATCTGGCTTTATGTTTTGGATCATTGTCTTGATGGAAGATAAATCTTCCTCCCAGTCTCAGGTCTCTTGCCGACTCAAACAGGTTTTCTTCCAGAATGGTCCTGTATTTGGCCCCATCCATCTTCCCATCAATTCTGACCATTTTCCCTGTCCCTGCTGACAAAAAGCAGGCCCAAACCATGATGCTGCCACCACCATGTTTGACAGTGGGGGTGGTGTGTTCAGGGTGATGAGCTGTGTTGCTTTTACGCCAAACATATCGTTTTGCATTGTGGCCAAACAGTTTGATTTTGGTTTCATCTGACCAGAGCACCTTCTTCCACATGTTTGGTGTGTCTCCCAGGTGCTTGTGGCAAACTTTAAACAACACTTTTTATGGATATCTTTGAGAAATGACTTTCTTCTTGCCACTCTTCCATGAAGGCCAGATTTGTGCAGTGTACGACTGATTGTTGTCCTATGGACAGACTCTCCCACCTCAGCTGTAGATCTCTGCAGTTCATCCAGAGTGATCATGGGCCTCTTGGCTGCATCTCTGATCAGTCTTCTCCTTGTTCGAGATGAAAGTTTAGAGGGACGGCTGGGTCTTGGTAGATTTGCAGTGGTCTGATACTCCTTCCATTTCAATATGATTGCTTGCACAGTGCTCCTTGGGGGCAGCTGTGGCTGAGTGGTTAGAGCAGTCGTCCTCCAATGCGAGAGTTGGGGGTTCGAATCCACCAGCAGTCACATGCTGAAGTGTCACTGGGCAAGACACTGAACCCCTCATAGCCTCTGATGTGTGTCCCATTGGTGTATGAATGTGATCTAAAGCACTGATTAGTGTCTTTAGAATGATTTGTTCAATTAGCTTTTTAGAGATCTCGTAGAGTGCTGTACGAATGGGTAAATGAGGCACAGATTGTGTTGTAAAGCACTTTCAGGATCTTGAAATAAGATAGAAAGGCGTTATATAAGTACAGTCCATTTACCATTTACCATTCCTTGGGATGTTTAAAGCTTGGGAAATCTTTTTGTATCCAAATCCGGCTTTAAACTTCTCCACAACAGTATCTCGGACCTGCCTGCTGTGTTCCTTGGTCTTCATGATGCTCTCTGCGCTTTGAACAGAACCCTGAGACTATCACAGAGCAGGTGCATTTATACGGAGACTTGATTACACACAGGTGGATTCTATTTATCATCATCAGTCATTCGGGACAACATTGGATCATTCATAGATCCTCAATGAATTTCTGGAGTGAGTTTGCTGCACTGAAAGTAAAGGGGCCGAATAATATTGCAAGCCCCACTTTTCAGTTTTTTATTTGTTAAAAAAGTTTGACACATCCAATAAATTTCATTCCACTTCATGATTTTGTCCCACTTGTTGTTGATTCTTTACAAAAAAAAATTAATTTTATATCTTTATGTTTGAAGCCTGAAATGTGGCAAAAGGTTGAAATAGTTCAAGGGGGCGGAATACTTTCGCAAGGCACTGTAGCCTTATGAACATTTCCAGTTTGGAGAAAACAAGTTTAAATCTGAGCTTAGTTTGAGCTGTCTTGAGTGATCAAGTAGAGTTCTCCCATCTTAAAACAAGTTTAATATGAAAAGCATCTTATTGGCTCAATAAAAAAACTAAACCAGAAGCATTTGCACAGCTATTGATTTTGCCTTGTGTGGTCATTTTATCTGAAATATTATCTTCCTGCTGGAAGTGACCCAGGCTGCACCAAAAATGCTACAACTTGCTTCTGGTGCTTTGAATGTGTAACACTATGCAATGACAAGTAAACACCTGTGTATTCTGAAAGTAATGGTAATGTAAAGTATTACACAGTGAAGCTTATATTATTAGCTTTGAGTTGATTTTTTTATTTTACAGTTTTTTTATTAGATGGCAGAAATACACTTTAGTCTAAGCCTCACTCAAACAACTTGTTCAGTTGTCATCAGAATTAAACTCTAATTCTCTTAACTGAGGCTTTCCAAAGAACTACAACAGGTAAGATATTCATTGTTCATCAACTTTTCCACAGAACCCCACTTCAAGAGATGTGAACTATTGTATTGTGCTTTGACGTATTTTATCTTTGTCCTGCATTAATGGAAACGAGTTTAGTTCCTCACACTGTCGCACGGTCTTTCTTCCACTAAAAGCTTTTCACGTCTCTACAACCGCACTCCGTCCACCCACCCTGGAAACACTGTACAATTTTCTAAAAGTCTAAAAAGGCCATAAAAACCACTGAGAGAATTTAATACAATATTAAAGTACAGTACATTTTTAGTGTTTTCTCTGTTATAGAGTTGCAGTTTAGAGAGACTTGACCTTTGCTTTTACTGTCAGCACTACTTTTAATCTAGACATTTTATTTCCTGTTGCTGCCATAAAGCCATGAGGAATAAAGTGTCCCAAGGAGCCTGCAGGGGGGTTAAACACACAACAGAGGGGTTTCTGTTAGTACTGGGCTGTGTTTGGCAGAACTTGTTGTTTTTGCACAGCAGGTAAAATTTTTGATGTAGCGCTATCCTTTATATTTATTTACAATGATCAAAAGCAGATATAATAATTTTCAATGACTCTTGAGTAGAGTGAACAAAACACCTGAGAAGGCTTAGTTGACTGGGGTTATTTTAACTTGAAGCTAAAATTCTAAATGTTTTCTTTAAACTTCATGTTTAAATTCAGATTAATAAGCACAGGGATGTGTACTGGTAAATAATATTTACTCAGAGCCAGGTGTAACTATATTAATATCTGTCTAGCTGACAGTTGTTAGCTGTAGCTTCAGTAAAAAAAAAAAAGAAATGAGTCTTTGCAAAAAAGTAAAACTAATGTTTTTATTGTTTACAGATAAGTCAGATAATTATTCACTGACACCAACAAGTGATTTTGAATAACATCTCCTGGACCTGACACCCTGTAGTGGATCAGTTTGATGATGTCTAACTGTTTGAGACTATGTACTGGCATCTGCGTTGCCAGATACATGATAATTACCACTTTTATAAATAATTTTAGTGTCGAGCTCCCCTCTGTTTCTGTACATGTTAGCCAACCACAACACACCTCATCTTACAACCTCCTCCCTCTGAGAAACACATCCTCACTTAACACATAGGATAGTTTACGTCAAAATACAATTATTTCAAAGTGACAGTACGGTAGATTATCATTTCCTACCTGGCAACCTTTCCTGGTAGAGCTTGTCCACTAAACAGAGCCTAAAGCAGATAAATTTTAGACTGAAACAGAGGTTAAAAACAGATTTTTTTAGCAAAATAAAAATGAATAGTAGAGTATAAACACTAAAATGATCACGAGGAGAGATCACTTGAACATCTTGAGGCAAAACATTGTATATTGTAGAACATATGTGTCAAACTCAAGGCCCAGGGGCCAAATGTGGCCCATGTTGACATCTTATCTGGCCCTCAAAATGATATGTGGAATGTAAAATACTTTTATTTCTTGAATGTTTTCAGTAATCTTTGATTATGATGTTGAAAGCTCAACAGTAAACATCAAATGAGACCAATCAAACTCTTGATGAGGAACCTGTGACCAAGAAAAGATGCTGGGTATCTGATTTGTGTTAATGTAGTTTCTGAAATTGGCCCTTAATTTGAAAAAATTTTTGAATTTTGATCCCCTTTTGTAAGTGAGTTTGACACCCCTGCTATAGAACGATAATTACAGGTAGTACAAATTTCAATATATTTCCAGAAACAGATCTCTAATGAGCATCGCTTCGTGTTTGTCAGCGGACGCTTGTTCAGAAGCATTGTGAGAATCAACACCTGTTTGTGTTTACCCATCAGGGGGGGATGTACGTCTTCCAGCTGTTTGATGCGTATGCTGCCAGTGGAATGTGTTTGCTGTTTGTGGCCATATTTGAGTCCATATGTATCGGCTGGGTGTACGGTAAGATCAAACATCAAACTGAAGTGGAAACATGAATATTGTATTTTAACCACTCAGACTACAGCTTCACATATGTTTGTGTATTTGTTGTCCAGACAGCTGCTGCACACTGGAGCTCAGTAAACATAGCACACAATTCAGCAGCATGATACCTTCTTTATTCCTTATTATTATTATTTGTCTGCCCTCTGCTGGAGAAAGAGTCAAACACATACAGTGTGTTAGAAATCAGGATATAAAGAAAAACAAAATGTTATCTTTTAAACCTTACATGTTGACATGGAATAATGCAAGAGAGATTTACCTGAGCATGCATTATTTAGTTATTTCATTGTATTGAACAGCTGTTACACTTAGACAATTTTGGCGTGAACCTTTACAGAATGACTTTGTCTTTCTTGATACAAGGACTCAGAATAGATTGGACTCCTGTCATGTCAGCAGCACTGTGTCGACACAACCACAAACTGTCAAAACACATCAGTCGCATCATTATTTTGATGATATATGCAGAAATCTCTGAGTGAGGCTTGTTTGCTTTCAGGAAGTGACAGATTCTACCTAAATATTGAGGACATGATTGGCTACAAACCTGTCTTCTTCATCAAGTGGTGCTGGATGATCCTGACCCCAGGCATCTGTGCTGTGAGTCCAACTCTGATACAGAGGCAACAACACACAAACAAGCTCAGCATAGACTAGAAGCTCACTCGTGCAGAAGATTTAGATTGGTTTGGTATTTTACCTCTCATGAAATTTTGGTTTCAAACTGAGGTCTTTATTTATTCAAGGGGGAAAATTTCACTGAAACATCTATAGATAAAAATAAGCTGAAATATTGTCCTTTATTATTTTTTTTTTCTCTGATAATTTAGAAAATGGATTTTTCTTCATGTTCTGAAAACAATATCCATGCATCTTTATCTGCTTCTCCTTTTCGGGTCACGGGAAACTGGTACTTTCTCCAGCAGCTACTGCACGAGAGGCGGGGTACACCGTGGACAGGTCACAAGTCCATCGCAGGGACACACACACTCACACCAAGAACAATTTACAGTTACCAATGACGCTAATTTGTGTTTTTTTGTTTGTGGTTTGAAACACATGCATGCGCATGGAGAACATGCAAACTCCACCCAGAAAGGTAATCCTGCAAACTCCTCACAGACAGGCGGCAGCTCTAAACTCTGCAGCACCCTAAAACAATATGATTTGTGTACTTGTGCTGTTTATCTGTTCAAAGATAAACCTTTTGTCATTTTACTGCTTAGTGCTCTTAATGCAACACAACTGGATCACTTGTGATACCAGGTTAAAATAACATGGGGACATTTACATTCAAAGAAATCTAAATGTACTTTGGGGTTCAAACAAAAACATCAGGCTGAACACAAAAAACACCACACTGGGGAAAAGGATAGCGTTACTTCACTTTTGCTTTTTGGTATTTGTACTTTGTGATGGACTTGCGACCTGTTCAGGAAGTACCCCGCCTGTAACACAGTGGCTGCTGGGGATGAGCTGCTCCTCGTGACCTGGAGAGGAGAAGCGAGTAAAGAAAATGAATGGATCAATGGATATTCTGACTTCGTTTGTGGTTCATTTTACATTTTTACAATAAGCAGTGGGTTTATTAGCATTGACCATGGGCGGCTGTGGCTGAGTGGTTAGAGCAGTCGTTCTCCAATACAAGAGTTGGGGGTTCGATTCCATTAGCAGTCACACGCTGAAGTGTCCCTGGGCAAAACACTGAACCTCTCATTGCCTCCAGTGTGTGTTCCATCAGTGTATGAATGTGATAAAGCTCTGATTATTCTCTGTAGATAGTAGACTGCTGTATGAATGTGTAGATGAGGACACATATTGTACTTTAAATCATTTTGAGTATCTTGGTAACATAGAAAGGCGCTATATAAGTACAGTCCATTGACCATCAGAACAGTTTGTTTCAAAGCTTAGATTGTGTAAAATGAACTCTGTCAGAAATGAAACATTTCTATATATATTTTTTACATGCATTCAATATTTAAAAAATGTGTTTTTTTACTCTTGAAATGAAATTATTTGAAAACAAAATGTGTGTCTTTTTGATGCAGGGAATTTTCCTGTTCTTCTTGATTAAATACAAACCTCTGAAGTACAACAATGTGTACACCTATCCTGACTGGGGTTATGGGATTGGCTGGTTCATGGCGATGTCCTCAATGGTTTGCATCCCACTGGGAATTATCTGGATGATCTGGAAGACGCCTGGTACCTTTTCTGAGGTAACCCCACAAACTGGACAA